GGCCAGGGCACGGTGACGTCACGCGCCCCACTAGAAACACCGCTTTTTTTACAAATTTTACTTGGAAACGGCGTATCAGTGGGGAAAAAGTAAAAAGACGAAATCTGTTCCATATCTAACAGACAACAGTGGCGCGCCGATTTTTTTTTTAAGTGATGGAATGGTTTCGATAATATATATTTCCATGATGAATTTTCTTTCCTTTCATTGCCACTTAAAACGAACCTGGGCCAGAAAATAAAGAAAAAACACAACTCTCCGCTACTTTAAACGTCCAATTAAAATCTGCGCTGAACTTTTAATAACCGTAAATTAAGAACTTCATTAGCCCGTCGAAAAAGTACGAAGATTCGAGATAAAGAGAACGCGGACAGCTCATTAAGTTGAATATAAACGCTTCCGGGGGTACGATTGGTTGTCGACAAAGACACAACACAAATTCCACTTTGTATTTTGAGCAATATACTCGAATATTTTAAATGATAAAAATTAATACATAAATTTTTAAAAGGTGAACTTAAAAATACTTATTGAACTGAGGTTGCTTTTACTTGATGAAAATCCATTTATCAAAATAAATAACAACTAAAAGTTCAGATTTTCACGAAATTATATATTATGACATGACAATTGTTTCGACAACACCGTGTCTTTATCAAATGTTGTCAAATGTTATTAACACATCTCCATCTCCATCCGCATCAGATTTACAACTTTGTCATGCATCATGTTGTATCGAACTCGCATAGAAACAAAGGAGTCTTATTGATGACGAATTCTTTCTCGAAGTAAAGCAAAACTAGATTTACACAGAATTTTATAAGCAGATGAGATTATGACACTATGGGACGTTTTATAGGATAACATTATGATCCCTTCAAAGTAACAGCTACGTGTTACAAAAATGCAAGTGATTTATACATATTCTTACAGTTATTTATTTCAAAGTAGTTGCAGTGAGGGTTGACATTTGAAAAATTTTTATAATTGCTTTCATCTAATTTTGCGCGATTTACGTAGTTTTATGGCGCTTATCGTATTGTTAATAGGATATTGCCGAACAAAGTTATTATTATGAAATTTTTTTGACGTTAATAATACCATGTGACGTCATTGTATGGCTTCGGCGGTTGTCCCCGGCTGGCGTAATCCCCCACTGTTACACCGCTCCCCTCGCCCCAACCCCACCCGCAAATCCCGAATGGCCGAATCCGGAATTTAACCAGGCACGTCAACAATGTACCAACCAACCGCGTAGTAGTGCTAAATTCGCCGGATAAAATTGTTGTTCGGTCGACTCCCGTTAAAGAGCTCGGGATTTGGGATTTAACGTGTCTGTCGGACGATACGCTGCCCTTCGTAGACCTCAGGATTGTCAAATCAGAGATATTTCCCACCTAATTAAGTACCCGTTTCTACCCCACCAGCACGACTATGCCCGTTTATTTGCAGAGTAGTAGTCTACTAAGCAGCTACTACGCCATCTATTCGTATTTAATTTACTCACAGCCTTAGAAAACTCTAAAATTGAGAGATCTGGATCTGGAACTAACCTTAAGAAAATGGAGTTATGAGTTGGGAAGCCATTTCGCAAATTTTCTTTGAAAAATTAAGTCCAATTAGCAACCCTTAAAAAGTAAAATTAATAAAATTTTGGGAAATCAAAAAAGAAAAGTCCACTGCCGAAGATTGTGCTCTCTACCATGCTTCTCCTATCAGTCCACCATATTATCGGGCAGACGCCTTTGACGATGGGGTGAAGGATATTGAAGAGTAACACGACACGACGTCGGAAAAATTCGTAATATAAATATCGGACGCGTCTGGAAGCTTTTACATTTAAAAGAAACGACGTTTCGGATGCATACGTGTACGGGACCGTTCCCGCGGGAAATAAATGGAGAAAATAACGCCCGCGTCTGGATAATAAGAGCGTATATACGGATCCATATTTCAGGCATTGTCTCGGGTTCAATCATCTCGTCGGCGCTAGCAAATCGGAATTTGAAATCGAAATTACGATGCGGGAACGCCGCTACGAGCCGATCAAATTCTCTAACCGCAGACTTTTGAGGACACGTAGACGATACATGCAGGCTAAGGAATTTGAAGGAGGCAGTTGCAGCAGTTCTTCTTCCTCCTCACGAAGATTGGCGATCCAAATGACTATTTCAGCTTTGGACACGGTCTTTTTAAGTCTTTTAAGTAATCCGTGTCTCTCACCCAGGGTCTCCGCCTAGGGTCCAGTTCCCGCACCCAAAAAGCAAGACAGCGAATATGTAGCATTCGATCCTCTATGGTGAGATCCTTTCTTCGTAGATTTTAGATATATAATAGATTCCACTTGATGAACTATTCTAACGGTATCGTCAGCATATCTAGAGTTCCATTGATCTTACATCTGCCCTCATGCCTCTCCAAAGATAACTTCCTAATATAAGTTAAAAACCAGTGGACTAAAATAACCGATCCGTTTTTGCCAAATATCCTTTGATTTTTTTAAACAATCTTGCGATTTAATTTTTTTCCAGCTGGTTGAAAATTGACTGTTTAATCTGCGAAGAGGCACCCAAATGCCTCAAGCGACAATCGTCAACTTGAACCAGTATCTGGATATTCTCTTAACCAAAACAGGAGCTTTACCTAAATATATTATTATTTGTCACGATAACAAGGTCCATGAAAAGCTGCATAGAGGAGTGTTCTTAAAGCTAGTTTTTTTGAAATTGTTCAACCCAGTTCGACGCTGAATGGCTAAACACAAAGCAATAGGAAGGAGTAATGTGTCTTCATATCATAAAACAGATAAGAAAGAGTCTTTTAATGGGGTGTGACTTAGAAAAGGGGGAACTTTGTTGTTAGGTTTGGTTACTTTGTTAGAACATGTGCTGCCATCTGTCGATTAGTTAGTAATCTGTAATTTCCACAGATGGACGGAGGACGTAGAAATCATGTTGCTTACTACTGAAACCAAGAGTGACCACAGTTGGTTATTTAAATTTTTATCATTGTTTTGCCGCCTTAAGAATGAATAAATTGTCTTGTAGACTCGCGTTTTAATAGAATTATTTAGCAAAAAGCTCCACCCACCGTACCCTCTCATTAGAAAATTCCAATTGGTTTTCGATGAGTTTTAAAACTTTCCGGGAAATTTTTCCGGAACTTTTGTGCACCGGAAGATTTCTTTTAAGCGATCGAAAAATTATTTCGAACTTTTTCGACGTAATTTAAATAGAATTAACTGTGTTTGTTGGAATTATCTCAACACTAATGAATTTTTAAAAAACACGTACCCGCAAAAAAAATAAATGAGATAAAGACTTTAATGAAAAATCCAAATGCTGAGGAGAGATCTGAGAAAAAATTTGGCAACACCGTTTGCAATGATTTTTGCAATTTGTGTTATTTAGTTGGAATAGGCAGCTAAAAATATAAGTTTTTTTGCCTCATGAGTTGTTTGAAAAGACTTTTTTCATGCTTGCTCTCAAGTTTATTGTAAAAAATAACCTGTAGCATTATTTATTTGGATGACCAATTGAGATATTTTTCAAATATTTTCAACTCTTTATGAACTACAAGGTGTGTAAAAATTAATTTAGTCTATTTGTAGGCATTTTAGGGAAAACTAATTAACCAAGCCTGAAGTTTGTACCGCCAGTGGCCGTGATAAAGAACACTTATTCCCGCGAAATTTTCAAAAATTGTGACGCCCCGTATTACCAGCACTAAGCCCTCGGTTACAGTTTTTATGGTCTCTTTCTGAGCGTCCCGATAACGGCGGGGAATCCACAGAGACCGCCCCCCCCCCCTGCCGCCCTAAAATGATTTATAACAGTTATTGGCTTTTATCTGTCGCTCCGATACAGATTGCGAGATAAAACGAGAGTTAGGATGATTGATATTCGGAGGGATTTCGGGGACGCCACTGGATCTCTACCCTTCACGTCGAGGGTATCGGCATTCGGGTTTAATTTATTTTTCGTATCGTTTCCCCTCCCACCAGATTCGTACGTTGATGGTAATTTATGCGGATACCGGTAATCCAAGACCAAAGAGTTATAGTACGTTCGTCAGCAAGGAAGAGTAACATAAATTGATACATTTAAAAAAGAGTAAATTAAATTTTCCAAAAATACCGGAAAACACGTTATTTTCACTTTAAGTAGTAACGTTATGTCACTTCTACAACCTCCGTCACCTAGGGGACATCTTGGGATATCAAAAATTACGACTTCTAACTCAGTAACCAAAGAATTCATATTTATACAATTACGGCTTACATCTTGCTCCATATGTACAATGGGCTGATAAGTTCCGGCACGACAATGGAAACAACGATTTCTTTTAATTTATTTATTTATTTACCAATATACTTCTTAGAAAAACTAGAACATTTTATAGTTATATAGACTTTATAGTATAATGAGTATTGAAAAAGAGTTGTGATAGTATGCACCCTTGCCTTAAACCTTTTTTAAATTCAATTTGTTCTGAGAAATGTTCCTTTTCGTATTTATTTTGCTTTGATGACTCTTATTAGCGATTGACTCTTTCAAACGCTCTGTTGTAGGCAATAAAACAAATATATACACGTCCTGATTCACGCCAAGGTATCTCTGGATCAATACATACGAAGGTTGACTGATAAGTTCCGCGTCTGACAATGAAAACCACGTTTTTAATTTATTTTTCAACATAATTCCTATATATACTAAAACGTTTTATAATAATAAGCTCATTCAAATTTTTGAGATTAGTTAGGAACTTTGTCGCTGTGGGCCAAGTCGGGCGAATAAGGCGGACTTTCTTAGCGGAACAAGAATTTTTTTAACCATTGCGTTAAGTGCGCTATTCATCTCATGTTTTCTTTGTCTTCCATGAATGAAATCAAGCGCGCCTTTTTCGTGCATTGCGGTGTTGCTTGTTTTTTCAGTTTTCTCCATTTAACGTCCTGGGTGTTTCGCGTGATTTAAATAGTTTTAGGCGCCATATTGTTTCAGGTTCGTTCCGTATCGACGGTTTAAAATTGACGGGCACGATGTGCGACTATCAGTTCGTAAGCTCCGAGCAATCTCCGACTTACGGAAAGTTCTACTCTCCGAGATACCCGTCGACTTACCCGAAGAACGTGCGATGTTCTTACAGGTTTAATGCGAGGTAAGTTTTGCTGTTTACTCTTTTGCAAAACTTTTAAGAAATTTGTTTCGTTATACCGCCATAATACGTCACTTTTCTGATAACAAGTGCTCTTATTTCTAACTACCACTGTTACGAGCGGTGTTGCCACTGCTTAGGAAAAATCGTTTACACTTCTTAAAATAGAAAATTTAAAGTACAAAAGTAAAAAATCTCATATCAAGATTTTATATCTCGGTAACGGTAAGTCCTACGGGATCGCCGTTGGTACAGAAATGATCACCGTCGAAAAAAATTTTTTTTGTCTATCCGTTCCCCGTTCTCCGTTCCCGTCTTTTGGTTTTTCCTGAATAACATTCGAACCGTTGGAGCTACAAAATTGAAATTTGCCTCCTTTTCAACTCCCCACGAGGCACATAAGCTTGTAAGAAATGTCCCTGATCCGACACCGGTATCCATTTTTTTTTTTTCGAAATTTTCGATTGTTTCTTGGACATTGCTATGAAACACGATAAGAGTCCGAAATTTCCGAAATTTGAAGCAATGTACTTCATAATTGGCATATATATGATTTACCCCGTGACGGAAGCTATTGAAAATGGGAGGGCTGGAGAGTCGGGAATTATAGAGTATCATAGTATAATAAAAGATAGTTTGGTAAGTTACGGTTTTAATCCTTCGAAGTAACCGAGATCTTATCAAACTATTCCCGAAACCTTCCTTCCTTCGAAACAATAACTAACTTCCCCGGCGTAAAAGTTTATTAGGTATAAAAGCCTTAATGATTAAACCCGGATTAGGAGCGGCAAGTTTTTGATTTATCATTATCCGCCGCCCCCCACGCCCCTCCGGCTTTATAAAGTTCGCCAAAGTGGCCCTAATGGACTCTTAAATTGATTTATACTGTTTGCAGGTTTAAGGAGAGGATACGGGTGGTGTTCGAGGAGATCTCTCTGCAGAGGGGCGACCTGAGGTGAGTCCGCGGGAAACCGTGTTTCAGTTCGCGAGAAAAACGATCGTCAAGTGGAGCGCGCACGGTTAATGGCACGGAAAGAGGAGATGAATGGCGGGCTGAATGACAATAAGGAAAAAGCGATTCCCCGGGGGATCTTGCCAGAATGAATAAGTAGTTAATGATAAGGCCGTGTCGGGCATCGGGGTTAGGAAAACTTTTCACATAGGGAGGAGTTTTTCAACTCGAAACCGCGGTCCTTTGAAGACTTTTTTTACGTAGAGGCTCTATGAAGCTTTAGGATTTGGTTTTTATTTCTTGAACTTCCTAAATTTGATGTTCCAAAGCCTGAACGCACAGTTCTTAGAACACTAAAACACATACTTTAAAAAGAGATACGTACAAACACACAAAGTATATCACACTGAGAGATCAGCGTTACTACCATCAAAGTATTCTGACGGACAAAGGCAACTTCTCATATAGTTTTTTCTACTCCCGTCTGTAAAATACCTAATTACCCAGCGATCTAGAGTGCGGCAAGCGTCGCTTTACCACGTCAGTTTCGTTTCCCACGAATCCGAGCCACATCGGACATTTCCGGGATTTTACCGCACGGGTTTCGCAGCAATCGGATGTTTTCGGAGATATTTCCCACGCTTTGAATTTTGACGTTTGTCCATTCTGACAGTTATGTCAGTGAATGTATTCGTATTTTGCGAAAATGTACCCAAAAACTAATGGTCGTAGAAAAAGTATAGTATAAACATTTTAACTCACTCGTTTATTAAATTTTATTATTAAATTTAAATTAAATTTATTATTTCTCTAACGGAATCCACAAAAAAGTCGTTAAATTTTTCAGAGTTCGCGTGTAAATCGACATACTTGCCATCTTCATCATCAATGAAGTAACCTGGAAACATTTTATGTTTGGAGAGATTACTTTCAATTTAACAGAGGTTGTAAGAAGTTAATTGTAAAAACTTTTTTTAGCATCCTTAAGTTGTTTTTCATGGTTCTTTTTTATAATTCTATTTTTGGTAATAGTGAGTTTAAAAGCAGAAGATGAGAATTCATGGGTAGTCACTAACACAAGATACTCTTACACATTACCATCGTCGACCTAAAAACGATCCTACGGAACCTAACATTAAATTTACTCTAAAACCTTCTTAATAAAAACGGCTTGAAATATCAAGTAGAACCAGTAAAGTGGGTTAAATATTCTTTGTGATACTTTAATTCCTTAAATACACTAATTCATTTGTTTATTCATTATTGTTGCGTTCCAAATCGTTGTGACCAACTCTACATTTTTTTCCGCAATTTTAATGTTTCGTTTTTATTTATTTTTTTCCTTGCCGATTTATTTACAGCATTTCTGCCATTTTAATTAGCCTTTTTCTTCCTTTCGCAATCTTTCGAAGTACTTCGTTTATTATTCAGGCATTCCAAATCATTTTAATCAACCATTTAATTTTCTTTATCATTTTAATGTCTAGTTCTTATTTTATTTCTTCCTTTTCCTCTTCTTCCTTTCCGATTTATATGCCGCATTTTCATTATCTTTTTCGCAATAGTACTAAATAGATTTTATTTTTTTATTTATTTCAAATAGTACTAATCAAATTTTTAATTTTCTCTATCATTTTAGTGCCCATTCAGATTTATATGACGCATTTTCGCCATTTTGATTATCATTTTCTTTTCTTTCGAAATCGTACTAAATAGGTTTTATTTTTTGTTTATTATTGAGTCATTTCATATTGTTTTAATCAATTTTCTCTATCATTTTAATGCCTAGTATGTTTTATTATTTTTTTCCTTTTCTCTTCTTTCTTTCCAACTTATTTACTACATATTCGCCTTTTTCATTATCCTTGTCCTTTCTTTCGCAACAGCACGAAATAGATTTTATTTTTCATTTCAAACCGTTCTATTCATTCTTCCTTTCCGATTGATTTACTGTGTTTTTGCCATTTTCATTATCCCTTTTCTTTCTTTCGCAATCTTTCCAAGTATCAATCAACCTTTTAACTTTCTCTATCATTTCAATGCCTAGTTTTTATTGTAGTTTTTCCTTTCCGATTTATTTACCCCATTTTTGTAATATTCGTAATCCTTTTCCTTTCTTTCGCAATCGCGCGCGTCTACTACGATCTGATAACGAGGGCGGTAACCCCCCGCCCCCCGCCGCCGCCACCGTCAGACGATCGGTTTTTAACGGACAAGAAAGTCGGGAACAACTTTATGCCCCCGGATTTCTAATAAAACGACTGTATATGCGGTCAAATCGGGAAAAAGGCGAAAAAAAAAGTCCCGTCGAAACCGCTCAGAACATATATATATGTATGGGTCGCCCCCGGAGTTTTCCCCCAAGTTTCCGCAAACATTGTTAACTTCGACGTCGAGTGACGCCGCGGGATTCGAAGCTGGAAAAGATTTTGATCGATAAATAACCCCACACCCGACCCCAACAAAAAGTCTTGGGGGGGCGACGCCAAGGAGTCATAACCTATAACCTGAAATACAAATTCTTTTTTGCCAAAAATGTAGTGAAAAGACATTGTTACCACTTCTCATCAAATCTCATTAAAATAGCAACGGATCCATTGTTCCAGGAAATGTTTTGAACAAGGCGATAAGGAATTGCGTTCAGTTTGCATTTGCCTATATTCGTGCACTTCTCTTTCCTGTTGGGGGAAAGATGTAGCATGTAGTATCCTGGTCCTGATTTCAAAGCTGAGGCTTCGGTTTACCAGGAGGGCCCTCATGTCGTTCAGAAGTTTCCACTCTTGGTCAATTCTAGATGCAGCCTACGTTTATTATATCAATATTTTGGTCTTGGACGGATTCATACAAAGACCAAATTACTGACTGAAGTTCTGGATGGCTGTTGGCTGGCATCATCTGCTTAACGAAGATTAGGGGAGCCTCGTTGAATACTACCTCAGAGTGGAGGTTAAGCAAGAAAGGAGATGATAGGAATCCATGTAGAACACCTCTTCTGATGTGCACCATTCTGACTGTTGACGTGTTGTAAAAGTGATACGCTGTGAAAGGCATTGTTATCGTCAAGCAGGAATCAAGCAGCACACATACTACCAAGCCATGTTGACGAAATGTAAATAAGCAGTGGCATTTCCAACCTTTGGAATGGTTTGTTGGGAATCAGCGTCAAATATCACAAAATAGTACCATCGTTTACCATAAAGGCCTGAAACAACAGTTCTGTTTAATGAAGGGAAAAAAGTAATCATTTTACAGACCGGGTCAGAAAACGGTTGGGAACGATAGTCCAAGAATTATCTTCTAAAAACTAAGTAAAGAGCAATCACAGTAATTCTGGGTTTCAAGGTCAAATAATGCAAAGTTGGAAAGTCAAAACAGTCACCATTATGTTAAAGTTAAGTAAATTTTGCGACAACGTCACAGAACTACATACAGATCGATATAAATATTTAAATAAGTAGCGTAGGAAGTTGGGTTCCGAACCCAACGATGCCTCAATCCCCAATTATTTCGACATTTCGACAACTTCAGACTTAAACTGTCATGTCACCCTTCTTGGTGTTTTTTATATGTTCCCCCTCGCCCGTTTTCGCAACAATTTCTTCGTTTCCCCCACCCCAACGGATTAAGTCGTGCCCCCATCGAGGTATACGGAAACGTATATATCGGATTTAATTTACGGGGCGATTAGGAGAAGCAATTTTCTCGAACGGGTTAGCGGCGAAGTAATTTCCTACCCCGCAAAAAAGGTGGGGGAGAGGGAGAAGCTTTCGTTTGGACGTGAGGCAGTTACCGCCGCCTCTCTCCTGTCTGCCGGCTTGTCGCCGACACTAATTGCGGCGTGGGGTGGGGCGGGTCGGTATTTTATTTTTAAACGTAGGGTGGTGGGGGGATTTAATTGCCCGAGAGGGCGGGGGACGTTTTTTTTTTTTAATTAATAACCTGATATTTTTTATAATTTATTATAGGCGTTTAATTTCGACCGCATTGTTTATTTGTCAGTAGAGCGCCGTGTGACGTCAGCTGTCCTGCTGGAAAACTTGGGACATCTTTTGTAGTTTAGTATAGAACATATTGTTTGTAAAGTATGTGAAAAAGGTTTAAGACATTGGAATGATGGAGATGGAGAGAGTCGACAAATCACCATGATGACTGCTATTCCAGCATTAGTGGATATAATCCTAAAAATTTGGAAAACATTGTTTATCCAAAACTCAAGTATGTAATTACACCAGGCCCACATGACCCAGATATCCCAAGACCAGAAAATCCAGATAATTTTATGATGTTGGTGATATATGAAGTGCTTCTCAGCAACCACAATTATTTTCACAATCAGAACAGGAGGAATGGTAAGAAAATCTGCTTGACAAAATCAAATGCACGTCAGAATATACGAAGTACCCCTGTTTTTTGTGCTGGTGAGACAGTAGAAACAGGCATCAAAATTGTGTGAAAAAAAACTTGGTACCAAGGGTTCTCGATAGTCTTATTGATCCACGAAACATTCCCACTCTCTCAGATTCAAAATTAGAGAAAGGAATTTTTGTAGGTCCTTAAATAAGGCGATAAGTACCTTATGTAGTAGAGGAAAACGCTTATCAGATTTAAATTTAAATAACCTTTTTTGCAGCTGCTTAAACAGGGCGGACCTGATCCGGATATACGACGGCAAGTCGTCGTCCGACCCCTCCATAGGTCTGTTTTGCAACCAGGGCACCGAACTCGAAGTCCTTTCCACCGGATCCGACCTCTACGTCGAGTTCGTGGCCAACTCCGATAGACCGGGTCAAGGATTTAAGGCCACGTTTCAGTTCCAAATGGCGGAGGATCACGGTGCCACCGGTAAGCAGATCCGGATCATGAAATTAACGGAAATAACCGAAAGTGGCCATTCAGCCAAGGCGGTAAAAAGACGTCTTCCCATTACATTATGGAGTAATTATTTTGCGAAGTGTCAGTTTTATGCGAAGAAAGCAATATTGATTTTATCACATTCTTTATTTTACAAACCTCAAAACCCCAATACATCTAGATTGTACGGCAATTCTTTACTATGTCGTGACGTCATCGAAGCTTTTCGAAGACGCGACATCTTTTTGAGAGCGTCCTAAATGAATAATTTACTATTACATAGTTTTAGCGCTTTATACGCTGTAATACAGGGATCGATTTGTCTCCGCGTTTTCGACTAGGCCCTATAGATGGCGATAGCGATGCGAATAGGAATCTGTAAAGCAAAAGTTGAGTGGGTTCCTGCGATCTAACGATGTTAGCTATCGGTCGACAGATGGCGCGAGCAGATAGGGTATTAGAATTTTGATTAGGGTTCCGTTGCATCATTTGAAAGCGGTGGTATCGTATGTCATTAATTTCAGGAATTATTTTTATTGCATTTAGGGTTTTCTAATAAGTTGATATTCCTTTCGTTTTCATTATAGACTACTTTTAAAATGAATGGGTATATCAGGTTTGTATTAGAAAAGTTTTACACATAAAAATTCATTCTACACAATAAATTTATAACTTATATGTTGGCACAATGAGTAATGATTAAGAATCTGGATTACTGGATTAAAATATTTTATAATTTTAATTTATAATTTTTTTTTGTGCGAAAAGTGGTTTTAATTTTTGTTTCTCCTTGCTTCTGCAACATACCCAATTAAACACCGATCTAGCATGCGAAAATATTATTTGATCACTTCAGTTTCATTTCCTATGGCTGTGCTCGATAACTGAGCACTCGATCCGCTGGTGCCATTGTTGCATATCTATATCTAGCACATCCAAATATGCAACATAAATTTTTTCGTCTAGATAAATATATTTGTTTTATGCATCGATTCTAACAGCATATTTCTCAATTTTTCAAAGAAATTTCCACACTGTTTACAAAACTTCTGGGTTCATCCTCGGTAATGTTAAATGACTAATGATTTTAGGATTAGAAGGGTAAACCATGGTTTATTTTTGAAAATTTATCTTGTTAGTTGCAGTTGCAGTTATATATTAACTAGGTTTACTGAATTCATGAAAGATTTTTTTTGTTACGGTTTTGCACGTCCTTAAAAGTTTCTAACTTTGGTAATCCTTATTTTTTTGGTCTAATTTGAGGGTCTGGTTGTTTATATATTTAGTTTCTCTCCACTTTAGCTCTCCATCAACGGTACTACAGTAAAGTTTAATTTAATTTTTCATTTTCAACATATTTTAAGCGTCTAATTACTTGGAGATTGTGAACACCATTGGAGGCTGCACTTGTGACATTTTAATAGTGTTATACAATAAGTGTTAATTTTAAGAAAATGCTTGTCTTTTTGTTTATCCGTATGATAATTAATCATAATTGTAATATAAGGTATTTTACTCTTGCGTAAAATTCATATATTTTTAACAAACCTCCTAAAATTTTAGAGTATCCAGTACTTTTTATGAGAAATGAGCTTTTTCCCCTATAATTAAGAGATTTCCATATGGAATAGAACTTACTCAGACATGTCATATACGATTTTTACCGTTTTTCGTTTGCTTTATATACTGTTTAGAAGAAGCTGTGCCGTTAGGTGTGGATTTTGTCAAGGTTTTTGCAGCTTTAAATCTAATTTTATTTACTGTCTGAAACCTTTTGCAAGAATTGACTTTTAATTCTCAGAAAGTTGGCACGATCATGAATTTAACCGTTTGGAACTTGAAAGAAGTTTCATTGTTTCACTTGTGTCGAGATTGCTTTTTCAAATTTTTGAATATTATTCCGGGTCTCTCTATATTCTGGTGTTTAATCTCTTAGACGGTTAGATGGGAAGGCATGGTTAATTCACTTATTTCGAGACTTTGCGCAGACTCTCACTTGCCTATCTTTTGGTTAGGGAATTTCTTCAACTGTGACCTTGAAAAATGTAAAACGCATGTTCCTCGAAAAAAAAAAGACAATGGTTCCAGAACCCTCATTTCTATATTACTTACAACTAATCAAACATATTTAAAAAAATCTGCATTTTATTTATTTTCGGTTACTTACAGATATCATTTCTTGCTTGAGTGCCTCCTTAACTCATTTATTTTTATGATGACCTTGAAAGATGAGCTCAGAATCGTCATTTCTATTCAACTTGTCCCGAAAAACCAACACTGTTTCTGTGAGAGTGAAACCGCGAGTCAATTATACGCCTCCGCAGCCTACGTCATAGTTTTAATTACAGTTCGCAACCCTGAGTCAAGGCGACGATGTTACGGTTGCGTCGACAGGAACGAATGGCTTTCGAACTAATTTACAATTTGAATTGCCAACCGTAAACTTGCAAGCATCTCCAAGGACTGACCCGGCCGGAACGTATTGTTTCGGGAAAATGTGTTAGAGAACCGCTCGGTTTTACAAATGGACACCCCGAAACACTTCCGACATTAGTTGTCCATTAAATTACCGACGCTCTATCATCATCCGTCAAACCATCAACAACTAAACCGCGTTTTGGGAAAGGTCGGCGTTTTGACCTCTATCGCCTACGCCGAGCGTTGAGACTAACCAAACTTTGTTCTCTATGCTAACGTTGTCTCTTCTTCTTTTCAGATTCCCAGCGGTCGAGTAGGTTGGGCAGTTACTCGTTCGCCACCCAAGTGGAGCCCAATGTCAGCGAGACAAGTAAGTTCGAGAATATACAGGATGTTAAGGGTCCCAATAGGGTCGAACGGTTCACGGTTGGCTTTACACGAACATGAAAGACAAACGACCCACTGTGAAGACTGACCCACACAAGCCGTCACATCGGTTACGCGGGTTTGAGAAACTGGGTGAACGCGCTAATTTAAATCACCGATCCCAAAAGGTCTCTAACCCGACTTTTGTGAGTTAAAAGGTCTATTGAAAATAGAAACAATGGATTCCGAACACAGGGCATGTTCGTTGCGTTTGAATTTACTCCAAGGGATTTTTCCGTTCAAAATAAATATGAACCAAAAGTTCAGATATTTACGAAATTACATATTTTCACATGACAATTGTTTCGACAACACCGTGTCTTTATCAAATGTAATATTTACAAATTACCTTACTATATATACCAAAAAATGACAATAAAAACTTAATTAATGTTGTTGTGAGAATTTAAGTTCAATAAAGGAGAGGTATTTGTTAATCTCCATGGCTTCCAAACTGAACGCTGTCGCAGATTTTCAATCCAAGAATTTATAACAAACCGTGTTGTAAATGAGTTTATTGGATGATATTGTGATGGTACCTACCTATAGATAGTAAACGCTGTGTCAATATGTGACTTCTGTCTGTATATAGTGTATATACGTGCAGTAAAGTGCAGTTTTACCGGCGTTGCCTAAGCCTAACAGTATAATGATAATAAGTGCCATAGGAAGTACGCTAATGGCGGTTCATCAGTCATGGCTTCTTCCCCGTTGCTTTTTTGGGTCTTAATGTTAACTGTGAGTCAGGAATGTCATTAATAAAGTGTGAGCTAAGCTCTGAACAAACCAAGAAACTATGCATTGTATTTTTAAGCGTTTCTGGTGTTTCAAATCAAATTTCTGTTAGAAATGGTAGTTTTTTTAGTATAGACTCGACGTTTGACACTTTTTGGGTTATTACGGGGGGTCAAGGACAAAATTGAAACTTCTTCAAGAACTGATTTTTAAATGTCAAAAAGTTGGTACGATCATAGATTAACCAGTTTGCTAGTTTAGAGAAGTTTCATGGGTTCACCTGCGTTGAGTTTGGCATTTCAATTTTTGTTAGTAGAAGGGAAATGTCAGCAAGCAAATTTCTTTGAATCATATTTCACTCTCTGTTATACCTACGCACGGACAGAAAGGACCTAAGTAAGAATGCCTTTAAATTCAAAATATTTAATTTTCCGTGTAAGAGTTGCTAAAAGCAATATTTATTAACATTTGGTGTATTTGTCTCTATATAAACTTGTTTTTAATCTGCTATATGGTTAGGAATTATTTTGAATTTTGGAAACATCAATGAATAATAGGAAAAACAAAGTGCAAATTAGATAGTATCATTTTTTAAGGTGTTTTTTTCGTATATTTCAAATTTTTGACTACTTAGCACACATACTTACTTAGGCATCATCCGATTTTGGAATTTTATTAACGTTGAACTTGAAAAATGATCATTGGGTTCCTAACCTTCATTTCTATTACACTTACGATGATCATCCAAGCAGATTTAAAAAATTGTCTGCATGATGTATTGTTTTCAAAATATGACCTCAAAATTTGGAATTTTAAAACATCTAACATAGCGGTAAGCGAGATTAATTACTCATTTTAAAACAGCGAACGGTGATATTAATTCCTACCTGCATACGCAATTATAATTTTTTAAACATTTTTTGAAAGATGTCCGTCGCCAGCACCATTGGGTCCAGAAACCTTATTTCTATACTACTTATCGCGAAAAAAGAAATAAATTTTAAAAATCGCCTTAAATAAAGAAAAAATTATATATTTCTATGATTGCTGTCACGTGTTAATACAACGTCCGGTATCCATTTCAATTAGACCTGATCTTATTTAGAATAGCGGCTTTGTAGTGAAAGAAGAAAGACCCCGGACGATGGGGCTGGTCGTTAGCGTTACCCCAGTTCGCTTATTTTTGCCCCACAATGGGGAACAATGCCCCCCGCATTAGTATTTCCGACCCTACTATGAAAACCCTAAACAGATTAATATTCGCATATTATTGTTAAAAGCCAAAAGCCACGGTAATATTAAATTACGATAATATCATATCGGAAAAAAATTATCCCATAAGGAATCATATAATTAAATATAAAATTTAAAAATAACAAGCAAACAGAAACAAAAAAAATAAAGATATGAATAAAAACGAAAAAAACCTGAATTTTTAGAAGCATTGCCACTTTTTACCAAATAAAAGGCTCATTTATTGTTTCGAAAGTCAAATATCATATAAGATCGAAATAAAATGTTGTTGTTTGCCCTTATTGCTTTTTTGCAAAGCCTCGAATTTATTATTTTTTCATTAAAAATTGGGCTTAGCCAATTTTATTAATTATCACGGTACCAGCATCGGTAAAACGTGTGTTGATTTAATCAGTATTCTTCCAGCTTCCTACCGCTATAAGGGATATTTTTAATTCAATAAATACAATAGGATAATTCAAGCGGAAGCCCCAAATAATTATAGAAAAAATGCCAAGGGAGGTTTTTTTAACTTATCTCTTTAATAGTTTCCCCCATTTTGCTTGTTTACAGAGCTGTAAAACTATCTCAACCCGAATCATATTAAAGGTACTGTTTACAAATCTCCTGGATTCGTCCTACGTCATTTATTAATAAATCAAACTTGCCTACGTTTTGCCAATCATCCTGTTGGCTTCTTCAGAGCTGAATTGAAACTAGCCGGCATTCCACTCCGTGCCTGCTGAGGGGGCGGAGCTAAGGGACGGGCATGAACATTGTCTCGGATGACTATAGATTCTTGCTTTTTTCATTTGTTGAAGAATGATAAGAATGAGAATGAAGATGATTACTATTAGTTTCAAAGTCAGTGGTAAAACGTATGTCTTTCTAATGTAATGCTTTTCAATTTTTTAATGAAGTGAAAGTATTAGTATGATTCTAATATCCTCTCGTGTTGTACCTTTCCCATAATCGATAAAGCAAACATATACGTCACAGTTCACATCACGGCATCGCTTTAACAGCACTTGCAGACTAAACAAAGCCAACTATTTTCATAAAGCCAAACTGCGTTTCCCGATACTCTATCTTCGCATATCCCGTATATTCTTTGGTGAATTATCTTAAGATCTACAGTCCCCACATGTTTTGGCTCCGCGTTTTTTTGGTATCATTATGAACTCAATGTCATAAATATCGATAAAAATGTTCGATAGTAGTTCATTGATGACCAATTAAACCCTATTTTTAGTGAAGAAATTAATGATCATAGCAAATGTTTGACAATGGGTAAGAATGGTGAATCAATACTAACAAAAAAAAATGGAAGATAAACCTGAACAGTCTCGTTCAGATGCGACAAAGTATCGTCATTGCAAAACCACTCCGAAAATAACCGAATTTCGGACGTTGTAAATAGACCGACGGAGAGGATTTATATCTCTGTCGGGACTCCATCTTTTGACCGAAGCGTAGCGGCTGAAATATATTTCATTACATGCTTTTTTCGTTCCCTAAGCTTAGCGGCCGGTCTCCCTTCTCCGTTCTTCTCGACAGCAGAAGAAACATTGACAAAATTTAAAAGTAAAAAAAAAATACTTCCTTTGTTTAAGCCGTTACCTCCGGTTTCAGAATTTTCAATCAACCCTAAATATACAGGGTGTCCCATGACCATCATAGCATGTCGCAATGCTAATTCAACTGAGCCATAATCATTTGAATTAAGAGAAACTCGTTTTTTTTATTTTGAACAATATTGTTCTCTGAACTGATTGTCACTGTATTTTGTTTACAAATTGAAAGTGATCTCTACATAGGCAACAACAAACTGAACTTTTCAGACAAAAGAACCTGGATAGTACATTGGATTCGGGGCTTGTTTTTGAGATACACGTAGAAAACATTGTTCAAAATACTCTAAAGAGTCTTGGATTTATTTTAATCGGTTTAATAATAAAATATCTTTAATAATACCTTTTTACAGTCTTGTCAGACCCGTGTTGGAATATGCTACGCCAGTCTGAAATCCAACGTGTACAACGAAAATTTATAAATGCTGTAAGTTATAGTTTTAATAGACAGAGACATTTTTTTAGTTATAACGAAAACCTTCATTTCAAAAATATGAAAAATAACACACACAAAATCTTCTGATTCCTCTCTTGGCTAAATAAGGATATTGTTGTTATTATCATTATTAATATTAATTATTTATAAAAATGGCATACCTTTTTTTATTAAATTTTATCCAAAAATACATTACACAAAACTTAAATTACAAAAAAATATAAAACAAATATATTTATAAAGACTCTACGGTTAATACTTTCCATTTTACTGCTCCACGTGTTTCCGAAACAGCCTATAATGTGAAACCATTACGATCTTAATTCACGAAATGTATTTTCTTTTCGTCCGGCTTCGCAAAAAAAGCGGTTCCCTAGATTTTCCGAATCTGTCGTAACTGCAACTTAGGGATTCCTTAGTTCTTTGGTGGGCCCTGGGGGCGGTTCCGGCGTCAGACGTCTAAATCAGGTTTGCATATTTGATACGAGCGCACCCTGCGGGTACATACCGTGCATTATTCACGACGACAATGGGTCGCGAAAACCGTCGGACAATACATTCGTGCCTTTGTTTCCGCCTAAATGGCCGTGTTTGCTTCGGACTGCTGTATATTTCATGCTCCGTCTTTTCTGTCGTTTCGCTTTTTTCTTCACATTGACTAACTTTGGAGAACGCAGAGCTAAAAAATATCGAGTAAAAGTGAAGTCGCGTCTCAATATCCTTAACCTAACCCAGAATATGAATAAAACAATTTATAATTAGAATAAAACTTTAATTTGGGAAACATAACTATAAGGTTGTTCGGAAAGTCATTTCGTTTTTTCCCGTCAGAGGAATTAATTACGTTTTTTCGAAACCAACTTCACACTTAAGCCGCATAACCATTATATGTCTTGAGAGCTGATATTG